AAAAATCGAGGGGGAAAAAAAGGTACATCTATATTACTTTCAAGAATAAAGATTAAATAAATATATAAATAAATAAATAAATAAATAAATGTCTTGCTTAAGATATCTTGCTAATAAACAGTGGGTAAAATCCAAACCCACATCTGAGAAGCCTGTGCCATTTCTATTATACTTAACAGATAGGGAGACTTTCACCTAACCCTACCACGTGCAGCGGAAATACTTGTTTTCTTCTATAAAAGGGCAGCTTTTCTGTTCAGTTTTATGTAGTTTTAATTTTCCTTTTATTTAAACTGCTTTTGACACAGGTTGTTCCAATTATGTGTTCTATTTGTCCCCTGAAGGGTAAAATTCCAGAGAGTAAGTTTCCTAGACAGCTTTTAAAATGTTAATAGCCAATATAGACATTCAAAAAGTTCAGAGCAGTTATCTCTAAGAGGAGGGATTTCAAACAGCTTGAATGTTCTTCCTTAAACTTGTTAAAAATCAAACGATTCATCTTCTCTACATTATCCAGACTTAAAACCACCTTTGCATCCCCCACTGTACTGTACTTACTAGGTGCTCAGTAGCAGGTGCTGCATAAATCACTGTTTTCTAAACTTCGGCCACATCTGTGTACTCTCTGTGTTATTTACTTAATGTCTTTCTTTAAACCAATTCACTTTTTAAAAAAATATATTTTATTGATTTTTTACAGAGAGGAAGGGAGAGAGATAGAGAATTAGAAACATCGATGAGAGAGAAACATCGATCAGCTGCCTCCTACACATCCCCCACTGGGGTACATGCCCTTCTCCGGAATCGAACCTGGGACCCCTCAGTCTGCAGACCGACGCTCTATCCACTCAGCCAAACCGGTTTCGGCCAATTCACTTTTTAAAAAATATTTTTTTATTGATTTCAGAGAGGAAAGGAGAGGGAGAGATAGAAATATCAATGATGAGAGAGAATCATTGATCAGCTGCGTCCTGCATGCCCCACACTGGGGATCCCACAACCTGAGCAGTGCCTTGCCTAGAAATCGAACTGAGATCTCCTGGTTCATAGGTCGATGCCCAACACTGAGCCACTAACCCAACTCACTTTTTAAAACTGAGCCTCATCCTAAATGACAATATTCATGAAATCATAATATGCTAGTTTTCTTTTTCCTAATATACAGTAGTAAATATAGCTACTCAAACTCACAATGATATACTACTTAAAATCACCTCACCAGTGGGACATACACTGGAAAGCACTACAGTTAATGAATGTTGAGTCCATCTTTGACCTTCTCCTTCACTCCACATAACAGCAATCAGCAAGTACTTTAAATCCATCTTTTATTGTTACTCTCCCACTTATTCTGACCTCTCACTCTGGTGCAGGCCCTCATTGTCTCATGCTTGTCTTTGCTCTCTCCTATATGCTGCCACGAAATTTTTATCTTCCTAAAACAAGATTTGGCCTCTATACTCAAGTCAATCTAAACTTTTCAGGCCATTGGACACAACCACTTGATGTCTTCAAGAAGGAGTATTTTACAAACTGGTCCTGGCCTATGTTTTCATCTCATTCTCAGAGAATCCATTCAATCATCAGTCTCAGAATAGCCACTGTATAGTCAGTTGTTGTTGTTTTTGGTCTCTTTAGCTTTATTAATTTCATGTCTTCAATGTGAAGAGGCCCATCCTCAAGTCAAATCCTGTCTAGTTCAAATATTCTCTTTTAAGAAATCTGTCTGATCATTAGAATCTGCATTAACTAAAAGCCACACTACTAAAAGCCACACTACTTCGGCTACTTAGGATATTTACCACACTTTGCCTTAAAGTATGGGCTATTTGTGTACATATCTAGTCTTCTTCACTATAGGTTCTTTAGGGTAGGGCTATGTCTAATATATCTTCATCTTGTAACTTATACATAGATGCTAAAATATCTGTAGTTATCAATGAAATAAAGCAGGCTCTTTAAGAAGCCAGAAAATAATTCAAATTCCATTCAATATGCTTCAAAGGACTAACCAATCTTTTTAAAACTTTAAGCCAAAGAGTACTGTTCTCATAGATATTAAAGATCTAATTTCATTACATTGCTTAAAGTTAGTGAATCACTACCTATGTCTAGCTTTGGCTATAATGCAATCCACCCTGTATGTGGATACCTCTTAGTAGGTTGCTTTGCTGAATTTGAATGACTCCTCAGTGTTGTCACTGGGTTAGCCTTTCTGGACTCCAGTTTTCCTAACTACAAGATGACCTTAAGATCTCTCCCTGGCTTAAAATCCTATGACCCTTGGTCAGACCACAGTGATCTTTATTCCAAAATCCTAACAAGTGGGATAACCACACTTAAAAAATAAATACAATCAAATGAGTTAAGCTTCTCCCAATGCTATTTAATCCCTTCACAGAATTTTGTTCCATCTACATATTTATAACAGGCTAGGCATTTTACTAGACCATCTTTTTAAGTCAAAGCAGATGCCTGAATGATAGTAATTATTTTCTGGTATGTAGACGATATAAAATGAACTAAAGGTATTTCTAATATAGGGTGGGGCAAAAGTGGGTTTACAGTTGTTTGTATAGAAAGTAATACAATAATTAATAAACAATAATACAAGAATAAATTCTGAGTTTTGCATACTCACAACTGTAAACCTACCTTTGACCCACCCTGTATATTATTTCATTTAATCTTCATGACCCTAAAAGGTAGACATCTTTAGCCCAGTATCTCTCAACTCAGAGTGATCTTGCCCTGCCAGCCCCCACCCCCACAGATATCAGGCAATGTCTAGAGACGTTTTTGGTAGTCACATCTGTTGGGGTGGCAAGGCGGTGGTAGTGGTGCTGATGCTGGCATCTAGTGGAGAGAGGCCAGGAATTCTGTTAAACATCCTATGATACACAAGACATCCTCCCATAACTAAATATTATCTGGCCCAAATGTCAACAATGCTGAAGTGAGAAACCCCAGTAGCATCATCTTTTAGTTAAGAAACCAATGATTTGCCTGGCCGGCAGTTGAGCGTCAACCTATGAACCAGGAGGTCACAGTTCAATTCCCGGTCAGGGCACACGCCTGGGTTGCGGGTTTGATCCCTAGTGTGGGGCATGCAGGAGGTAGCTGATCAGTGATTCTCTCTCATCATTGATGTTTCTATCTCTCTCTCACTTTCCCTTCCTCTCTGAAATAAATAAAAACATATATATTAAAAAAAAACACCCCAACAATTTAGAAAGCTTAACATACTTGCCCAGCATTACACAGATTCAAAATCATCTCTGAATGACACCAAAGCCAACAGAACATCATACCTACAAATACTGGTGACTACTTCTGATTACATTTGTATCGTTTCTTATCATTGTCTCTCCCCTTCCCCCATTAGTCTTAGCACTTTAGACTTCGCTAGTCAGCATCAGCTGACCTCATCCAGGAAAGGACTCAGAAAAAGCTTCCTCAGACTCTCAGGTCAGACTTAAGAAATGCCTTTTCTTGTGTTCTCACTGCATCCAGTATACATAGCTTCACTGTGGCAATTACTATGTTGTACTGTGATTGTATAAGTTCCTTGAGAGCAAGGGTTTGCCTCTTTAAGTTTGTATTCCAAGTGCCAAGCAAAATATCTTAGCACGGAGTATACATTTCATAAATATTTGTTAAATAAACAAAAGAAAACTGACCAAATTACATAATGTACCCAAGGACACACAGCTACTAAATGACAGAACCAAGTCTCTCCGTTGCCAGAGCCTATAATTATTGTCTCAATGAAACTAAAAATGAGATGTCTATCTCCTCTTTATCCTGCCTGTGGGATTTCTTTGATCATAAACATATCAGGAATAGAGATAAAGCCCCTGTTTTAAAGATAGCTTATAATCATAAGAATTTTCCTATCTTATGCTTCTAATTTTAATGTGTACATTCTGCAAAAGTTTGCAAGGTCGTCAGCATGTATAATAGTGAGGATCTCTCCCAAATACCAGAATTATAAAGGGGCCATGGTGTTTGTATTTGACAGTCTCCCTGAATTCAACACTTACAGAAAAGTGGATGATACCTAGAGTCGTCACAGAAACTGTTTATAAAAACTAAACCAGTCTCTTAGGAAAAGAAGAACTCACTTTAACTTTAGCTTTTATTTCTTCACTGTCCCCTTCTCCATCATTGCGGGGTTCCATGCCAGACTCCTCCCGGATGTCTTTGTTTAGTACAGAATACTCTTCTAGTAGAGTGTCAAACAAAACTATTCGCTTGTTCTTGAAGAAGCCATAAAAATAAGCATTGCTGTGGGCAGAGCGTTTAGATCCTAAGGAAAAGACAGTTCAAAGCACGGAAAATAATTAAAAAGTCTGGGGTCCTTTGGAGAGACTCCTAGAAATTGAATTACTGGAAAGGACATTAACATTTTCAAATGGTTTAATACCTGAAGAAACTGTATCAACATAAATCACCACCAGCAGTGCAGAGTGTCTGTTTACCTGTAGTCTTGCCAACAGAGATGTGTGCTCATCATGTGTGCTTATTGTAGAGCAATAAGCAAGTAAGGAAAACTTAAATATCCAGCAGCAGCAAAACGATTAAATTATTGTAAAGCTATGAGATGGCAACATTATACTAGAGTTAGAAACATTGATGAGAGAGAAACATCGATCAGCTGCCACCTGCACACCGCCTACTGGGGATATGCCCGCAACCAAGGTACATGCCCTTGACTGGAATCAAACCTGGGACCCTTCAGTCCGCAGGCCGACGCTCTATCCACTGAGCCAAACCAGTTAGGACCAAAATTATACTTTTGAAGAATGTTAACAAGATAGGAAAAAGTTTCACCAATATAATGAGGATTAAAACTTTATGTACCTAAGGTTCCATTATTGTCATGAAAAAAATATACATGTAAATAGAAAAGTATAAACAAAAGCCTATTAAGAAATATATCAAAATACTGAAGTATTAAAAAAACCCACTGAAGTATTTATCACTGGCTTCTAGAACTATGGATTTTTGTTCCCCTTGTCTATTTTCCAAGGCTTGTAAGTATACACACTTCTATATTCAGAAAATAATTAAAGCTATTTTTTAAAACACTGGGGAAAAATACCTAAATTTTTAACAGTGGCTAACAGTAGCTGAACAAACTATAATTACTTTTTATTTTCTTTATTTATGTATTTTTATTTTCTAAATGTTCTATAATGTGCAGTGAATTTAATAATTACGAGCAGACTTTGGGCTCAAATCTTGGATCTGCCATGTATTAGCTGTGGAGTAAGAAACTTTCTTAAATTTCTTCAAGCTTTATTTACCTGTTTATGATGCAAGCCAATATCTATGTCATTGGATTAGGGTAAGGATTACATGAGAAATTCTAAGTAAATCAATTAGTATACTGCCTGATCCATATAAACTATTATTATTTACATACTTTTAAAAAGTAATAACAAAATATTTGTTTCTCTTGAGAATTTTAGATCTCTCACAGAAATGTGAATTAAAAAATATTTTTTTATTGATTTCAAAGAGGAAGAGAGAGGGACAGATAGGAACATTGATGAGAGAGAACCACTGATCGGCTGCCTCTTGCACACCTCCTACTAGGACTGAGCCTGCCACCGGGGCATGTGCCGTGACAGGGAATCGAACCGGTAACCTCCTGGTTCGTGGGACAATGCTCAACCACTGAGCCACGCTGGCCGGACAGAAATGTGAGTTTTTATCTACTCATATTTCTAATGTAAAGCATGTTTATTAGTATATTTAGAATATAGTATATTCTATATATATAGCAGTACATTTGACAATTATGTTTAGAATACAGTAGGCTTTGATAAATAGTGGCATTTACTTATTTATTTTTCAGTTTTTGTTTAATTGCCAAATATGTGGTCCAATTTTGCTAGTAATATAGGGTCTGGAAAGCCGTGTATCAAACTGAGGTCTTATACTTTTCATTTCTGTCTTGTTTTTTTAAAAAATTTATTTAAAAATATTTCTTAGATGGTGCCTGAAGTTATTTACAGAAGCAGGCAGATTGTAGGCATATAAATAAAATAAAATTAACATCTTAATATCTCCCACTGGTCCAAGTGTCTCAAAGTATGGCCCAAGGAACATCTCCACCAAAATCACCACAGGCGCTTGTTAGAAAGCAAACACCAGAAACACCTGTGAGGTCAGACCTCTGGGAATGGAGGCCAGCAATTTATCTTTTAACGAACTCTCCAGGGAATTCTTATACAGTTCTCACTAAGGTTTAAGAGTCCCTGCATTAGACCATAAGCTTTTTGTATTTCTGTGCCTGGCACGTAGTATATATTCAATAGTGCTCGTTTACTAAATGGATTAATGATGCCACTTGAGGTGTGAGGCAATGTATTTGAGAACTCGAAAAATCAAAATGTTCTATGCAAATGCAAGGCACTGCCATCTGTATCATTTTTGTTTATGATCTTAATCAACCTCTCAGCAGCATCTGCAGTTGACCACTCCCTCCTTGAAACACTTTCTTTTCCTACTTAAAAAGAAACAGCATTTTCTCCTCTTTTCCTTCCTATCTCAATGGTCTCTCCTCTGTGTCCGATGCTGGCTCTTCCTCTCCTGCTGACTCTGGCCTGAGCCCCACTCTCTTCTCTAAACGTCCTTATCCGTGGCATTAAACACACCTATGTGCCAGATCTTCCCTGTCAATATTGCTGGCCCTGGCCTCTCCCTAGAATGCCAAACTCATACACCCAGCTATTTGCTATCTCTACATCTCCCCATGAATGTCTATAGTGCATATTTGTTGCTTATATTCTTATGTGTGGCATCTTCCCTGCCCAGGACTGGAATCTCTGTTCAGAGTTAAGGGAATTCAAACCATGTAAAACTTGTGAGAGACTGCTTCTCATTTAAGAAATACAAAAAGACACATATTTGCTTCCCCAGCATTCCTGACAGCTAGCCCTGTGCCTTGGCTCAGTCAATCAAATGCACCCACTGGGGACTCTGGATAGTTAGCACTAGAAGCAGGGCAGTGAGGAACTAATTCTGTAGGTGCTAGTGGCAGGGCTGTTAGGGGTGCAAACTGCTGAATCCAACAGAAGGAGGCAACAGCAGTGCCCTCCCAGACTGGTCTGCAGTGAAATTCTGAGTTCCCCATCTCCCTATGGAACAGCCCATCTTCTAAGCTTGGTAAACTTAATTTCCTGGTGATTCTGTAAGCTATCAAATAGTGTTTCAAAAAGCAACTATTTTCTGCTTACATTAGCCAGTTGGTTTCTACTACCTGTTTGCCACTAACTATTGCCTGCAGAATTCTAATTCAATGTTCAACAGATATCTCAATATACAGCACATCCAACATAAATTCGCATAAACCTGCTATTCCCCAGTTTTTCCAATATCAGTAAACTATCATTTATCCAATTGCTCAGGCTAAAAATCTAGGTTATCATCCTTGATGTCTCCCCTTCTCCCATAATCTTTTCCATATAATCTATTAGTATAGTCCCATCAACTCCACCTCCAGAACACATCCCCAGTGCAACCACTTCTCTCCTTCAATCACTACTGCCCTAGTCTAAGCTACTACTCTCCCCTACCTGGATTACTAGAACCTCCTCCTAACGGCTCTCCCTGCTTCTACCCCTGCCGCCCCTACAATCTATTCTCCATAGCAAACCAAGATATTTTAAAAATACGAACCAGACCATGTCACTTTCCTGCCTAAAACCTTCAATGGCTTTTCCCCTTGAAGTTAAAATAAAACCCAAGCTCCTTCCCCTGATTTACAAAGGCCCTCGTGGTCTGAATCTTGCCTGTCTCAGATTTCATGTCCTAACACTCCTGCTAAGTGGCAGCCACATTGGACTTTTTCTGTGTCTTCATGATTCAAAGCTCTGGAAGGTCGTTCTATTGATTTCAGCATGCACGGCTCCTTTCTTCAGGTCTCAGCTTACATTCATTTGCTCAGTGAGGTCTTGCCTGATGACCCGCTAAAGCAGCGGTTCTCAACCTGTGGGTCGCGACCCCTTTGGCGGTTGAATGACCCTTTCACAGGGGTCGCCTAAGACCATCCTGCATATCAGATATTTACAGTATGATTCATAACAGTAGCAACATTACAGTTATGAAGTAGCAACGCAAATAATTTTATGGTTGGGTCACAACATGAGGGCCAGAAGGTTGAGAACCACTGCTCTAAAGTATCTACTCAGTCATTCTTCATCACATCACACTGGTTAATTCTCTGCATAGCACTTGCTCTCTGATATTTTCTTGGCTTCTCACTATTACATTCCTATTAATTTACAAATCTGTAATGTGTTGTTATTGTTAGTAACAACATTCACTCATTCAAAATATTTTTGAGGACTGTTACCATTCTTAACAACAATAAAAGCTTACATTACCAATGAGAAAACGTCTGTTTAGCAAAGTTAAGTTGCCCAGTCATACAGGTAACTGTGACAGAGCTAGGATTCAACGAAGACTATTAACTCCTCAGCCTACCCTCTGAAATTCTACCCCTCCACCTACTCAAATCTTGATTTTCTATAAACTCTCAGCTTATATTATAAACCTACATAAAGCCTTGCCTGACTATTTTATCTAAAATCATATATCACATATGTAAGTATCTCTACTGTCATATCATCAGCTGTGATTTCATGTTATCTGATTAGTAAAGACCCTGAGAAACTGTTGTACTGTACCAATTAGTGTGCTACTGTTAATGTTAACGAAGAGGAGTGATTCTCAGAGGCTAAAGAAGTAATATGAATCGGCTTATTCTCCTATCATTTCCCCATGGAAATGTTCCAATTGTACCTTTAGTTGACCTATTTAACCTCAGAAGCTACCAAATATCTGAGATTTCTATACTCTCCTAATTGCTGATAATTCATTCATTCCAGTTGTGACCATCTCTGTTCTCACCTGGCCCCGAAATTACGTAATTCTGTTTCTATTCATTCATCTAATATAACTGCTTCTCATTGGTGATTTTTTAGTTTAAATGATGGATGGACAAACTATGGCTTGCAGGCTCAATCTAATCTGCTACTTATTTTTATACATAAAGTTTTATAGAACACAGCCATGCTCATATTTATGTATAATCTATGCTGTTTGGCACTATAATGGCATAGTTGAATAGCTTCAACAAAGAACATACGCCTGCAAAGCCTAAAATACTTATTATCTATGGCATTACAGAAAATGTTTGCCAAACCGTGGTTTAGAGGAAGCAAAACTGAAAGCCAGAGTGGTAAAGTGATCTGTCCAAGATTCCACAGCTGGTAAGTAACAGAGGCAAAACCAGCCTTGTTCATTTACATGGATTTTAATGTAAAGATTCTGAAAGTCATGGTACCACACAACAGTTTTAATTGACATCTCTGTAAACTTCCTTGAGCTTTTAGTAGTCTTATGTAAGCTCCTAGATAACTTACCTCTACCCAAATTACAGTTTTTGGTAATTTGCAGGTTTTCACAATCAGAGTCTTCCAGAACACTAGAAGTTTTGTTGAAGGAGACAAAGCCAGTAACAATGGCTTTATGAGCCTAAAACTAGTGCTAAATGGAATGACTATACAACAGTCCTACTTAATTACTAGGTGCCAGGCAGGTAACAAAGTCCATAAGTCAGTCTAATATGCATGCTATTAAAGGGAGTGACAAAGGCCTTGGCCCAAAATTAAAAACAATATTGTAAAGCCAACCAAACACAGCTTCAGGCAAGAATGGGATTTGACACCAAGCCACCAGTTTCTATCCCTGGACTATATCATCAATTCCTATAAATCTTAAAACGTCAAAATGTAAAATCTTAACCTTTAGATAACAAAATTTTAAACAAACCGATTTGTTCATTTATTAAAGTTTTAAGAATAAAGTTCTCAAATAAACCACTCAAACGAAATCTTCTTACCCCCAGTAGCCTTACCTTCAACAACATACACCTTAGTCAATGGAAAGTCAATACTCTTTGCCATTATTTCAATTTCTTGTTTAAGCTTTCCCTCAGGTAGCGGTGTGAATTTGTCAAATAAAGGGGCAATATAATCAGCATAGATTGTGACAAGCACCTGAAAAGTAAATGTCAGAACAACCTATGAACATGTTCTTAAAAAAACTACTCATTATACAGATTCAATTACATTGAAACAATTATGTGATCCTAACCTTGAGAGCAGGGACCTTATCTACTAGTATTTGTTCTGGTATTCCCAGTCCCAAATTATACCAAATTCATCAATCTGTTTGATGAATTAAATCAATATGAATAGTCTCAAAGTGGTAATAACTGAAAAGTCAAATGGTCCATTCAAAACTATCTTGGGAATTTCATAAGCCCATAAGAAGTTGGAATGCTGCCTTTTAAAGTAACCATGACAGATCTGAAGTCTTTGCTAAAAAAAATTACTGGCACCTGACTGTGTGCTGTCTTATTTCGTTGGTCAGCTAAAATTACCTACAGTTCACAACTGTACACTTGGTTGAAACAGCATTTCTTTAAGTATTTTGGAAGCATTTCCTCTCACTTCGTTTGCCATTCAACAGATATTTGTAAATCCAACTAGTGCCCATTTTCTAATGTTGATCCCACCAGTGGGAAGTGAAGTAATGAGCATCACGCTAATTCAGACTAAAATAAACCTGCTCATTGGTGTAGTTAAGAGATGACAGATGATATTTTCTAGGGGCTGTCAACAGACAATTTTCATTGTGTTGTAGTGTTTGTGTTGTGAAACAGTTTAGAATGTGGGAAGGAGAAGAGGAAAAGAAGATGTGAATGAAGGAAAATGAAGGGGGATGAGAGAAAAAGGGAGGGAGAAGGAAGAGAGGAGAGAAGTAATGGGGAGAAGAGCAGAAGGAGAAGGTAGGGAGAACAGGGGGAAAGGAGGGAGGAAGGAACATAGAAGGGAGAAGGGAGAGAAGGAAAAGGGAGAAAGGAGGAATGAAAAAGCAGAGGAAGAAAGCAAAGAAAAACCAGGTACATTTATGCTTTCTTCTTGTCCCTCTTCAATCTATTTTCTTCAAAACAGCCTTGATTTTTAGGCAACGGAGCTCAGTCAAGAGTCATTAAATTACCAAAGTGTGTCATCCATTCTGGTGGCAACTCATAAATGCATAGCCCAAAATTGCCTGACAACTGGATCATTAAAAGTAACAACTAGCTTCTAGGATCTGTAAAAGTCAACATAAGGAGAAGAAAATCTGTCAGAGTCAATTCTCCTATTTTTATAACCCAAAGCAGAAACCAACAGGGGAATTTATGAGCACTTATATGTATTTTATCTGCTCCTTAATAACTGTTTACATGCTAATGAAGACTATACCATAATTACACCACTAAGGAAATTTGTAAAAAACATGAAACAAAAATTTTACTCACCAGAGAAACAGCTAATGTGAACAGCCAGGCGTAAATAAAAAAATAGTCACCCCCAATTTTAATAATGTAAAGTAGAAGTGAAGACACAGGCAATAAAATGCACTGAGTCACAATAAATTTTTTGATTGCATCTTTCATGAAGAACCCCAGAGTCTGAAAAAAGAAAACATCACAAGAAACTGAGAAACTGCTACTAAATAACTAATTAATGAATATAAAGGATACATTATTAAAGTAAATTTAAAAATTAAAAGGCAGCCCTGACTGGTTTGGCCCAGTGGATGGAGCGTCGACCAGTGGACTGGAGGGTCCCGGGTTCGATCTCGGTCAAGGGCATGTGCCTTGGTTGCGGGCGCATCCCCGGTGGGGAGTGTGCGGGGGGCAGCTGAATTGATGTTTCTCTCTCATCGATGTTCTAGTTCTTTGTCCCTCTCCCTTTCTCTCTGTAGAAAATCAATAAAATATTAAAAAAAAAAAGGCAGTAACACTATATTATATGACACTAGATAACCCAAGACAATAACTAAATGTCTTACATTCTACAGTTTAAAATAAACTCATTTAAATGTCAGCTGAAAGGCATTAGACATTAGAGTGCTAGAAGAGCTTATGGCAAGACTTTAAACTACAATCTTTGCCACATGCAGTTCCCTTTTTTCTCAACTAATTCATGCTCTACAACAGCAAATCATGAGCACAAAAGGTCTTCACATTTAAGAGAGAACACTTGCATTTTCTATTATACCTGTTGATTGAAACCATGTTTTTCTTCTATCACAAAAGTATTATAAAGACTCCATGGCAAACCAGTCAATGCACTAAAAAGTGTAGCCATCAGCAGAAACACCAAAGACTGAGTGATCTAAAGACAAGAAGGAAAAAAAACACAAAACATGGCAGTTTTTATAGTGTAATATTAATTCATTCTTAAAATGAATTCTCAGTGAACAAATTGATAAGCAATTGCTGAGTACCTACTAGATCTCAAGCAATGTGTCTGATTCTATGGCTAATACAAGGTCTGAAACATCATCTATACCTTCAAAGTTTACTTCTTAGAGAAGGAGGCAAAAAAAACCCAAAACAATTCCTCTTTTCTTACACAGGCACTGTATGAAGTTACCTAAAGGCATATAAACAGTTGAAAGATTTGGAAATCCCATAGGCAGCAAAATATCAGACATATGCCATAGCACTATCTTTACCAATACATCTCCTAGGACAATGGAAACTAAGGAGAAAAATCAACAAATGGGACTACATCAAAATAAAGAGCTTCTGCACTGCAAAGAAACTACCAACAAA